CATTCTGGACTACGAGTTGGCAAACAACGTCCCCAAGGGATGGGTGAATTTCAGTATCTCACGCACATCGCCAAACGGCAGCTGGCACAAGCTTGAGCGAGGCGAGATCAAATTGGATGCGGACTTCTTCAAAGCGTTCAACGGAGATCTACGAAACCCAGATTTATGGAAACAGTTCCATGAGAGACTGCAGGAGAAGCAAACAACCGGTGTGCCAACATCGGCACCTCCATTGCCCGAAATCGACGCAGAATGGCTCTTCTGGGAGATGATGCGAGTGTCAAGGACCCCAGACCCATACATGTACCCAGCGTTGCAGAAGCTGAAAGCGTCAGGGCAGTTCATTATTGGCGCTCTGTCAAATACGGTCATATTCCCTGATGGGCATCCTTATAACAGTGACTCAAACGGCGTCAGGTCGCAATTTGACTTTTTCATCTCATCGGCGCATACAGGACTCAGAAAGCCAGATCCCAAGATCTATGCAGCTGCGCTGAAGGAGATGGACACATTGGCGAAAAAGAAAGGCTTGCAAGGGGTTGAGCCGTCTGATGTTGTTTTCCTCGATGACATCGGGGAGAACTTGAAGGCCGCAAAGAAGGCTGGATTGCGACCAATCAAGGTCAACCTCGGCCGGACACAGGATGCTATCAGAGAATTAGAGGAGATCACTGGCCTGCAATTGCTAGACGCTGGGGACAAGGCCAAGCTTTGAGCCGAAAGAAACTGCAACGCAAATACTGCGCCAAATGCGATAGATATCCTTTTTATAGATAATTCTCCTTTGAATCATATTCCCCATGTGCAATGTCTCGAATTAATTAGAATAGTGTTGTGTTATTCATATTATTTTTTGAACTGTCTACAATACTGCGTAGTGTTGTCTGTACTCCGTTGTGTTCTCACCCGCTCGTGGCCAACCTCAATTTTGCGCTGGGATGCAGCCACGCTAAGCGAAACCATCCACAAAGTCAGCCCACGAAATTTCCAACCTCTTCAGTCCTCCTCTGCAGCCAACGTCGACAACTCGGTCTTCAAATCGCGGCAACAGTCAAGATGGTGAGTCTTATTGTTGTTTCTGGGGAGTGATAGCACCTGCTGCATTGTTCACCTTTCAATGAAATCGTCCTGGCGACCGGCAAAAAATTTTTTATTCCTTGTTGGTCGCTGTGGGGGACGGGGAACGGGTCTTTGCAAGATGCTTCGGACGCCTGTGTTTGAATGTTTCTGAAGCGCAAATTGCTGACTCGGGGGTTTTTCTTCTTGTAGCCTTTCCACAAGCTCGTCAAGAACAGCGCGTACTACAGGTGAGTCTTTGTGTGAAATTATCATTCTGGTAACGGCAGAACTAATAACCTCTACCACAGTCGCTACCAGACCAAGTACCGCCGCCGCAGAGAGGGCAAGACCGACTACTATGCCCGTAAGCGCCTGATCACCCAGGCCAAGAACAAGTACAACGCTCCCAAGTACCGCCTTGTTGTGCGCTTCACCAACCGCGACATCATCACCCAGATCGTCTACTCTGAGATCACCGGTGATAAGGTGTTCGCCAGCGCCTACTCCCACGAGCTCAAGCGCTATGGTATCACCCAGGGTCTGACCAACTGGGCTGCCGCCTATGCCACCGGTCTGCTCCTTGCCCGCCGTACCCTCAAGAAGCTCGGCCTTGACGAGGAGTTCACCGGTGTTGAGGAGGCCGATGGTGAGTACAAGCTCACCGAGGCCGTCGAGACCGATGATGGCACCCGCCGCCCCTTCAAGGCCTTCCTCGACGTTGGTCTTGTCCGTACCTCCACTGGTGCCCGTGTCTTCGGTGCCATGAAGGGTGCTTCCGACGGTGGTATCTTCATCCCCCACTCTGAGAACCGCTTCCCCGGTTTCGACATCGAGTCTGAGGAGCTCGATGCTGAGACCCTCCGCAACTACATCTTCGGTGGCCACGTCTCTGAGTACATGGAGACCCTCGCCGACGACGATGAGGAGCGCTACCGCAGCCAGTTCGCCAAGTACATTGAGAACGAGGTCGACGCCGGTGACCTCGAGGACATCTACACTGAGGCTCACAAGGCCATCCGTGAGGACCCCTTCAAGAAGGACGAGGACGAGGAGCCCAAGAAGTCCAAGGAGGAGTGGAAGGCCGAGAGCAAGAAGTACAGAAAGACCAAGCTGTCCCACGAGGAGAGGAAGGCTCGCGTTGAGCAGAAGATCCGTGAGCTCGCTGCTTAAATGCGTTTCAGTGAAATGGCAGCTGGGTCATGTTGGAAGTATCACCAAGCGCGATAGTTCAACAAAAAGTGTACTTTCTCACACAACCCCAAAAAAAGCAATTTTCAAGGGAACTATGTTCTGCCAAATCGGCGTTTTCTCGAGTGTAAATTGATGATGGGACCTTTACGAGCGCATGTTTTACGTCTGGGATATCCTTGGTTTTTTTTTTCGGAGCAATTAGCAGGGTTTTCTTTTCAAGGGAATCAATTGTTTAAACCATTCTAATTGCTCCGGTGATGTGTCGACATGCCAGGGTTTCAATTCCAATAGCCAGCCCGAGTAATCAAAGCCGCATGGCGCTGCCAGTTAGTAAGACCCAAACCGAGAGCTACGAGCTTAGAATGATGTCTGTAAGCTTGTCGGCGTCTGATTCAAATAGATATCCATACTGAAACCCCAAACCCGTCGCGCTGTAGGTATCCTGAATATTGTGGGACTGGTCAGTAGCCTGGGTTATGGGGTTACTGTGGATCATAATTGGCGAGCTAAGCGATGAACCATGCCTTAGGTTGTAGGGTGGACTCCAAGGTACTTACTCTAGGTACGGAGTAAACTGGCCATATTGGACACTCGGAGCGTATTTCCCTGATGGGCATTATTGAGCTTTAAGATCTTCCATGTTCGCTAATAGACATGGCAAAGAAGAGGAGCTTCAACGGTGCAATCAGAGGCCTATCGACATTCGTATGTCTCTTATTTTGGATAGTATCAATTCCTTTCGTCGTTACGTACTACCTGCAATAGAGCAAGAGCCGATGACGGTTTTTACCCAGCTTCAACTCACGTCCATACCGAATGGCAGCAATTGGTTCATCTATTTTGGAAATCCTTGACACCGTGTTTCCGGATACTCAGAAATATGGGCAGTATTGGAATGTATGCCATTATTCAATGAGTAATGCAAGAAGCCTGCACATACTTGGGAAGAGTCATTCCAAGATATATATCTCTCGGACATGGAGTACGATCATCGAATCTGGGCATTATTTTCGGTGCCATTATGTGCTTTACCGGATACGTTAAGTATTCACTCGAATCCTCCATGGCCGCTCGGTACAGCAGGGAACATTCTCTACACCACTAGGTGAATTGGATCATGGTGTAATCATTCAGGCCAGAGTATCTGCTCATCACTGCTATGGAGTATTCTCGCCACTCAAAGTATGATCACGCGACTGGTTAGTCTCCATTCTCATAGCCTCAGTGTACATACTGACACTGCAGGTCAATTCACTCACCTCATATAATGCTTACAGAACTTCAAAGAATGGCCACTTTCGCGTGAACTGGTGACTTGACCTTGAGCTGTAAATGGATTGAAATGAGACCTTGAAGCAACTGGCAATATTAATGCATGTGCTTTGACGAATGACGATGGGTTCCACTTTATTAGCATAAAGGGTACGTCACGTGCTTACTATGGGCGAAATCCAGCGTTGTTTTGATGCTGGTATCGTGGTATTGCACAAGTCATAGTAATTAATAATATTTTTTTACTATTACCAATTTCCCCAATAATGGTTGTGTGGCCTTGGCGGCCCATCGTGTGAGGATATCATGTCTGATATGTATTATCCAAAGCATTTGAGCGGAATCAGCCGGATTGCTAACAACTGTCAGGTGGCGAGCTTTAGGCTGGCACGTACAGTAGGATAGGTTGCACCGACTCAAGGAGGAGTAGACAGCAAAGTAAGGGTTTGTTTCCCAAGCTAAATTACCTAGACAATAATGAGTAGATGACTAGGTAGATATTTCTGGTAAGGCAAGGCCGTTACTTGGGGTATGCGACAGTACACAAGTGATACAGTAGTACAATGTCTCCTAGTTGACATCGAGGTGGAGGACTTCAAGCCACAGAAAGCAATAATCATGATGTGTTCTGCACTCTATGGAGCCACAGACCAGTAACTGTAAGATAGACAAAAGGTAACATAGTACCTGCCTTACTTTTACCCAGAGTGAGACAGACGGATTCAGTATCTACAGCATCTTTATTAGACACCTTCGGCGACTCCTTGCCAATTACATACGTACGAACTACTCGGTACTACAGAGTACCCAATTACTAGGTAGTTAAGTATCTAGGTCTTCGAGTCCTGACCTCAGCATTTCTGCTCCCCAGGATCGTCCCCCCCCACTCCACTCCACCGGTGTTGGGTCAGCCAGAAGACCATTTGTTCTGGGTCCCTTTTGGCTAGCAACTTTACCAGCGAACTATCTTAAGTCTAGCCTGCTGAACCGTCTCGATCGCCATCACCTCCTACTCCTAGTCTTCTGAGAAGTATTGCTTATTTTTTCACTTTCCATTTAAGTCCTCTGCACCCCTCACTTGTCTCTTTTTCCCCCCCCTGATATTGCTTCTTCTTTTCAACTGTTCTCCGTTCTGCATCTCGGAGACCGGATTTTCATATCTCTACCTGTCACCATGCCCACATTGCGCAGTTGTTCGATGATGGAATACTCATACCGTCGCCGCTTTTAAGTTGTAACAGCGATATCTGCATCCTCAGTCACTATTGATCGATTTCTCGAGTCGCGAACATAAACGAAACCTCCTCGGAATAAACTAATACCTGTCTTTCTTTACTATCCCACCTCCGACAGAGCGGACCATGTACCCTGTCGCCTGACAATTCCGATCTTCCCCCACCAACCGACGATTAATGGCTACATCATCTCTTTGAGCGATCAACATCTATTCAGTTCCGCAGCGAGCTACAGACGTCATAATGGAAGGGGTTGAGACTGTGGATGTGAGCTGGCTCCATCATTCGCAGAAAGGTGCGATTTGAACCCGCCCGACGCGCTGTCTTATTGATCCAGATCCTCCGTTTGGCAAAAACACTTGCGTCTGGATTCTGAAAGCCAGCAGACGCTAACTACGCTTCATCAGACCACCTATCCCGCTGCAAATCGGCTTCTTCCCAAATCAGTGATAGATCGAGCGCTGATGCAGAATCTACCGCCGCGCAGCCATGCAGAGCAGAGCGCTCTACTTCCTCTAATACAAACACCTCCCCACCCCCGCAAGAACCTGTCCCTCCTGCATCTGAGGCTCCGAAAGATGCCAAGAACGTTGGAAGCCGAGCTGCGACAGAAATCGGAAGCGACGAAGACGACAAAGCGGCGGAGACCAGGGCTGTTGAACAGTCTCAGACACCCCAGAGAAGCACACCACGCTCGATCACAGGAAGAAGGAATTCATGGATTTCTAGTATAAGTTCCAAGTTCTCTTCAGGTTCTACTCCTCCCTCACAATCCTCCATGAAGTCGCCAAGTCCCAAGGCCACCTCGCCTATGTCGAAGCTCGATATGCCGAACCCCTTCGGAGCAGCCTATTCTCTCAAGGACAAGGAGGAAGAGAGTAGAGACGAACACACTCCGCTTGTCTCTACGTCGCCAAAGGGGCCTTCTTTTCTCCAGAGCGCCTTCCGAAAGTTTTCCTCTTCTGGAAAAGTGGTACCGAACGGGGGCATCTGTGAGCGCCGGGTGATGAACATTGATCATGACAGGGACAGGTGTAAGATTCCGGACCTCGACCAAAAGAAATTGAGGCGTGTTGCTTTCTGTGTAGACGTTGAAATCGCTGGGATATCTCGCCGGGAATCAGACGAGGAAAGTCCCACTGGTGCAAGCAACCAGAAAGTCAAAAGGTTGAACTCAAAGTCTAAAGACAGGGACGATCCCAAACGACCACAACCTGATGTTGCTGAAAAGGAGAAAAGACGCCAGGAGAATGGTACTTCTCGGCAGCATCCTGGGCCGTTGGAGACGCCATCCGGTGAGGCCAAACCCAATGGTGAAACTAAGGAGCCGACAAGAAAGCAAGAAAAGAAGAAGCGCTCAGAGGAGGAGAGGAGGGAACGGAAGGAGCGGAAACGAAGGCAGGCCGAGGCGAACGGGACTGTACCCCTGCAGCTGCGGGCTGAAGATCACGAGGACGATGCTCGACCTGCTGTTCCTGGAACTCCTCGATCCAAAACACAAAGCCACCCGACGACGGACCCTGTGCGTATTTATCGCCGCTGTTGTCAGCTGCGTGAAACACCTGTGCTTAAGAAGATCGTCGATGAGATATCCTCGCCTTCGTCGACACTAGCGGAGTCACCAGGCACTGTCGCCGTGCTTGACCTTACCAACTTCCCCATGACCTCGCAAGACATGGCCACGTTCTGCGACTGGCTCGCTATTGTGCCCGTCCGAAGGCTTATCCTTGAAAAATGCGCGCTGAACGACGCCTCGGTCAGGGCTATTCTGGCCGCTTTGCTCGCTACCAAGACCATTGAACAGATGAGACAAAGGCGCAGAAGAGCTAAGAAATCTGACATACACCAGCTGGGAAAGGAAGATAGATTCTGTGTTGTGGAGAAGCTGTCTCTGAAAGATAACCCCAGGATTGGCCCGGAGGGTTGGCGTCATATCAGCCTTTTCGTCCATCTCGCAAAGTCGTTGAAAGCTATAGACCTGTCCGGCATCCCGCTCCCCAGAATGCCCCTTTCAGCAAATGACTTTTCTGTACCGTTGTCAACGTCTCCAAATCCCTTGAAGCCCGTCACTGATGTGACGACCATCTTTGCTAATTCACTTGCTGAGCGTTTTGGCGGAGACCATCTCGAAGAGCTGTTACTCAGCGAGTGTAATCCCACGACGGAAGATGTGAAGAGAATTTGTGAAGCTGCAACGGCGCTTGGGTTGAGAAGGCTGGGTTTTGCAAATAACAAGCTTACCAGAGAGGGATTGGAACACGTTGTTCGCTATCTGGAAGCCGGGAAGTGTGAAGGTCTCGATCTGGGTGGAAACCCTATTCGTGATCATTTGGACTTGATCACTACCGCTCTTGAAGGGGAGTTCCCGCTCTATGCCCTCAGTCTTGCGGATTGTTCCTTGACCCCGTCTGTCATTCATCCTCTTCTTCAGCGCCTGACATGTCTCTATAATCTCCGATTCATCGACTTCTCTCATAACCCGGATCTCTTCTCCAGCAAGCCTGATGCTTTGGCGACTTTCAGGCGGTTCCTTCCTAAGATGAAATCACTCAAACGCATTCATCTGGCCGACGTCAATCTTTCAGCAGACCATGCCATCGCTCTCGCCGAGATTCTTCCTGAGTGCCCCAGTCTCTGCCATCTCAACATTCTGGAGAACCCTGCAATCGCAAAACTAGCCGTTGCGACAGACCCTGCCACCCAGGAAGAGGCTTGTGCCGTTTATGCTTCCTTAATGGCGGCAGTGCGCGTGTCTCGAAACATAATTGCAGTGGATATTGAAGTACCAAGTGCGGAAAACAATGAAGTCGTCAAAGCCCTTGCTTCCCAGATCGTGGCCTATTGTCTCCGAAATCTGGAACGAGGTGCCATTGAAGAAGAACTCTCAGATCCAGCGGATCCTTCATCTGCCCGTGCCACTGTTCCTGTACCTGAAATTCTACAGCACATTGTCGGCCATGGTGGCGTTGGCGACTACATCTGTGAAGACGAGGATGAGCCTACTCCTGACGAGGACTATGTTATCGGAGGCACGGGCGTTGTCAAGGCCTTGGAAGTCTGTTTAGGCACTCTGCACCATCGTGATATGCTCGGGGACCAATCCGGGCCCCCCAGCGGTACAACTACACCTAGGCATAGGAAGTCAAGGTCATTTGTTCCTCAAAGACCGCGCGATATGTCCAAGAATTTGCTTGAATCAGCTCGCAACATCCGCACCCGGATCCAGTCGGCTCTTGTTCGTGAGGATCGAGCCGGCAATGACGCGAACTATCGTGAGTGCCTTCCCGTCCATAGTTCATTTCCGTTCTTACATGAAACCACATATCTAACCAATGATCAACTGCAGGCCGACTTCAGTTCCTTGACTTTACATTGCATAGGATGATTCAGCGCTTTGAGGACGAGTACCCGGAGACTCGCGTTAAGCCACCCTCTGTCGTATCTGCCCTTCAAGAGACTAGCTCACAAATCTCTGGTGATGATGCGGCGGCCGCGCCCGCCGGCAGTGGTCAACTGTTCGGCATGAATATCGACGAGAACGCTGTTGATGATGATGATACCGACCAGTACGCCGTTCGTCTCTCGCGTACTAGCTCAATTACCTCCCTGCATGCGCGCGCGATGACTTCGGAAGAAGGTCACGTTCATCGTCTTGGCCAGAATCTCCGCCGTGATTTCCTTAGTCCCTCTATGAACCAAGGCGATGGCCACCCTTCATCGGCTTCCCTTGATGAATCTCACTTGGAAGCTCTGCGAAACAAGCTTGACCGCTTGCACGAGGAGCAAACTCGCTCTCATTTCGAGGGCGCAAATGCCGACAAGGCGTTCGAAGAAATGGGCTCTGTCGTTGAAGAACTGTGGGCTATGGAGAAACAGGATACGGCGGCATTTGAGCAATGGCGACAAACTCAGATTGCCGCTCAAATCAATAGTGGCAAGCAGACTGCATCCCCGAAGCCCAATGGTGCTATCAAAGAACAACTGGAGGTGAACCAGAAGCCGTCTTAAGAGAAGTGGTTACACCGCATAGCAGCGACGACCGCTTCTCTGCTTTGCCTAAACGCTTCTTGAGTATAGCCTGCTGTAATTGATAAACAGCGCTACTCGTTTGTCAATGTCGCATAGTGATTGTTGATTTCATCTTCTCATATTGCATTGTTTCAGCGCGATTGATGAATCTTGTACATATATCCCAGTTATCTGGCTGAGTTTGCGCTCGTATATACTTGACCAGTCCCTCCTCCATAGTCGGAGGCATGTTAAACAGGAATGGGCTTGGATGGTTTGCCAGGTCTTAAGATCCACTGTACCATAGTCGATCTGATCTCTCAAGTTATTATAACTATCCAAAGAAAACTATTGATTTCATACTTTCAAATCGCATTTCCCATTAGTCTTAGTACTGAAATCATCGATGGGTCTCTGTGTGGGTTGCGCGGGTGATCTCCACCACAGGTTTGTGCTTCCTCGGTTCTGCGCTGGTGGTGCTGCGTTCCCCAGAAAATCACACCTGTTTTAACTGGGGAATTTCACATGTCAGTCATCCACCATCCGTCATCCTACTACTCTACCCCATCTTCTCTTTTCCCCCTTCTCCATCAGCTATCTCCATATCACCCATCCTCTGGAGTGCAATGCAATAATAGTATGGTCATGTTCGCCTCCGCCGACCCTGGATAGTCCCTCAAGCACCTTATCATCTCCGTCTGTGCTTCCTTCCACCCCCCCACAAAAACACGGCCTCGGCCGCCATCTCGTGCCAGTGTCACGGTTTCACCATGGCCGCTCAGTCCAAACTACTCCCGCCCGAGCGCTCTATCCGACAGATTCTCTCCAGCCTATCGTCCCTTTACCTGCGCCACCGCAAACAGATCTCCCGCACCGTCTACCTCGCTCTTTTCGCCGCTCTGGTCAAGCGTATCCACAATGCCATCTCTGAGCAAAAGGCAGCGTCCCGGGCGCAGGTCGACCTGCGCAAGCGACCTGGCACCAGCAGTCTGGGTGATGGCGACGAGCCGCCCCGGAAGAGGGTCGAGGTGAACCGCGAGTTCTTTCGAAATCTACTCCGGCTGCTAAAGATTGTGATTCCGGGGTGGAAGAGCAAGGAGTTTCGGTTGCTCGTTGGGCATAGTGTTTTCTTGGTGTTGCGAACGATGCTTAGTTTGTATGTGGCGGAATTGGATGGAAGGTTGGTGAGCAGTTTGGTGCGAGGGAAGGGGAAGGACTTCCTGCTGGGTCTTGCGTGGTGGATGATTGTTGCGGTGCCGGCGACGTTTACGAACTCGATGGTGAGTTGCTGCTGGACTCGTAGGATCGCGATCGGAGTTTGACTAATATATCTGGTTGCGCTCTAGCTATCCTATCATCAGTGCAAGCTTGCCCTCAGCTACCGAAAGCGTCTCACGGATCATATCCACGACAAGTATCTGAGCAACATGACGTTCTATGCGATCTCGGCGTTGGACGACCGAGTCAAGAACCCCGACCAGTTGATCACGGTCGATGTCTCTCGCTTCTCCGACAGCTTGGCGGAGCTATACTCCAACTTAGCGAAGCCGATCCTGGACATGGTGATATACAACTACTCGCTATCGAAGAGCGTGGGAGGCGAAGGCCTGTTCATCATGAGTCTCTTGGTCCAGTTATCTGCAAACGTCATGCGGGCCCTGACGCCGCCATTTGGCAAATATGTCGCTGACGAGGCGCGTCTGGAGGGCGAGTTCCGGTTCCTCCATTCAAGATTGATTGACTACAGTGAGGAGGTGGCCCTCTATCACGGCCAAGAGGCCGAAAAGGACACCCTGGACAAAGGGTACTTCACCCTCATCAAGCACGTCAACCGGATATTACGAAGACGATTATATCACGGATTTATGGAGGATTTTGTCATCAAGTATTTCTGGGGAGCTCTAGGCTTGATCTTGTGTAGCATGCCCGTTTTCTTCCGTATACCCGGACAGATCACACAAACTATGGGAGACCGCACAGAAAGTAAGTTCTGCCCATGAACTTTCTTGCCTCAAGACAAGACTGACAGGCATAAACAGGCTTTGTCACAAACCGCAGAATGCTACTGTCCTCCTCGGACGCCTTTGGCCGTCTCATGTTCTCCTACAAGGAGATCTCAGAACTTGCTGGCCACACAGCACGAGTCTCGTCTCTCCTCGAGGTCATGGAGGACTTGCAAGCCGGACGTTTCGAGAAGAAGCTCGTCTCCTCAGCATCCACCAAGGAAAACGCCGCCGTTCTGTCCGGCCGCGGCGAGGTTGAAGAAGGCGACTCGATTGAATTCACCGACGTCCCCATCGTCTCCCCCAACGGCGACGTTCTAGTCCGCAAGCTTTCCTTCGCCGTGCACCCAGGCGACCATCTCCTCATCGTCGGCCCCAACGGCTGCGGAAAATCCTCCCTCTTCCGCATCCTAGGCGGTCTCTGGCCCGTCTACGGCGGCAAAGTCAAAAAACCCCGCTTCGACGAGATCTTCTACATCCCGCAACGGCCCTACCTGTCCCGCGGCACTCTACGACAGCAGGTGATCTACCCGGACGGCGTGCGCGAAATGCGCGCCAAGGGCGTCACAGATGCAGACCTCTACGAGATCCTGTCCATCGTGGAGATCGCCTCGGTCGTCGACCGGCCGGGCGGCTGGGACGCCGAGGAGGAATGGCGCGATGTCCTCTCCGGCGGGCTCCAGCAGCGCATTGCCATGGCGCGACTCTTCTACCACCGGCCTAAATTCGCTATCCTGGACGAATGTACCTCCTCCGTCACCCTGGAAATCGAACGGGTCATGTACGAGACCGCAAAGAAGCTGGGCACGACCCTCATGACGGTCTCGCATCGCCGGAGTCTCTGGAAGTACCACAAGAAGATCCTGCAGTTTGATGGGCAGGGCGGCTACATCTTTACTGGACTGGACTGGGAGCGCAGATTGCAGTTGGAAGAGTAAGTCTATCTTATAACCTGTTCTTCCCTGAGTGATGCTGACTAGAATCGTCGTCGCAGCGAGAAAGAAGAATTGGACCTTCATCTTCGTGCAGTTCCGGAGCTACAGCGCCGTTTGGCCGAGTTGACTGCTGCGTAGATCCATTGTTGGGTTGATATATAGCATATAAGACTGTACTATGGTTCTTTGACTAGTTCTTGGTATAGACCAGACCGACCTTTGATATTTCATACTTCTGTTTGATTGTGATAGTCTGCAACTTGAGCTTACCTTGCATCTTTATTCGTCATGAATAAGCGTGTTTGTCGGTGTTTTTGGTCAGGCCTATACATGTGGTTTCCTTTCTGGCATACTCCCGTCAATTGAATCAGAAAAAGAATCAGAAAAAGAATCAGAAAAAGAATCAGAGAATTTCATGCAGTAATCAAAAATCGTAAAGTGCGCCTATTGACCACGACAAGAACCAAGCAAATTTACTCAGTTGTGAGACACGGTTAATCATCTCTGACTTCCAAAGGCTCAATGTTCCAGATACTGTCCGCATACTCACTGATCACTCGATCGGTAGAGAAGAATCCCATCCGCGCCACGCTAGTGATGGACTTGGCTATCCATTCATCTTGGTTCTTGAACGCTTCATCCACAATCTCCTGCGTTGTGATGTATGAATTGAAATCGTCAGAGACCAGATAATAGTCACCGTGTTCGGCAATTGCGGACATGAGCGCAGAGAAGTTGCTGGCGTCACCGAACATATCGCTGCGGATCGCCTCGAAGACCTTGGACAGGTGTGGATCGAGCTGGAATTCGCCATAGAAATGGCGATGACGGAGCTCCTCGACATCCTCCGCTAACGTCCCGAACAAGAAGATATTCTGCTCCCCGATCTCGCGCGTAATCTCGATCTGGACGGCCACAATTAGGAGACATGTCGAAGAGGGTAGATCGAGTAAGACTTACATTAGCTCCATCACAGGTTCCGATGATCAAACCCCCGTTGAGAACAAACTTCATGTTACTGGTCCCGCTGGCTTCTGTGCCGGCAGTGGAGATATGTTCACTAATGTCTGATGCAGGACAGATGATTTCTGCCTTGCTGACATTGTAATCTTCAATGAAGATGACTTTCAGAAGATCACCGACATCGGGATCATTGTTGACAACTGCCGCAACTTTGTTAATCAGGTGGATAATAGTCTTAGCCATCCAGTACCCAGGTGCAGCCTTCCCGCCAAAGATGGACACTCGGGGCACGAGTTTCTCCCTCTCCTCCTTCGACATGGCTTTGATGGTCAAATAGCGATGGATGACACCGAATATATTGAGCTGCTGGCGCTTGTACTCATGGATTCGCTTCACCTGGACGTCGAACAGTGCATTCGGATTCAGGCTGTAGCCTGTGGTGTCTTTGATATGCTTAGCGAGTCGCAGCTTGTTGGCAGTCTTGATCTCTGACCATTCTGCTCGGAAGGTCTTGTCGTCGACATAAGCTTCGAGCTGATCGAGAAGCGTCAGGTCTTTCAAAAAGTCATAGCCCCCAAGCTTCGAAGCAATCAAGTCGGATAGGCGCGGATTGGCCTGGTGGAGCCAACGTCGAGGAGTGATACCGTTGGTGACGTTGGTAAATTTGTCTGGTCCATAGATTTTCACAAAGTCCTTGAAGATTGTCGTCTTGATCAAGTCCGAGTGCAGTTCAGCAACACCGTTGACCTTGTGGGATCCGATGATCGCAATGTGTGCCATTCTGACCATTTTGGGGTGTGATTCCTCAATAATGGATACGCGGGCGAGCATATCCCTATCTTTGGGGAACCTCTTTTCCACGGACTGCAAGAAGAACAGGTTGATATCGTAGATAATTTCGAGGTGTCTGGGCAGCAGATTCTGCATCAAAGGTACAGACCATTTCTCCAACGCTTCCGGCAGGACAGTATGATTTGTGTAGCCGAAGGTCTTGGTTACTAAGCTCCACGCTTCGTCCCACTCGAGACCCTCCTGATCTATCAGTATGCGTTGCAACTCAACGATGGCAAGCGTAGGGTGGGTGTCATTGAGCTGGATCGCCACCTGCTCTGGGAACTTGCTCCATGCTCTCTTCGTCTTCTTGAACCTCCGGACAATGTCATAGAGCGAGGCAGCGCACCAGAAGTACTGCTGCTTCAGTCTCAGTTCTTTTCCTCTCTCGAGGTTGTCGTTGGGATAAAGCACCGCTGAGATAGTCTCTGCACGCTGTTGGTCCGCGACTGCACTCTCGTAATCACCAGCATTGAACTTCTGGAAATCGAACTCCCCGCTGGCTGCCTTGCTCGACCACAATCGGAGGTTGTTCGTCGTGTGAGTCCCGTATCCTGGGATCGGGACATCATAGGCCACAGCATGAACAGTTTCACCGTCCTGCCAGGAGTGAATAGTCTTGCCGTTCTCATCCTGGTACGTTCTCACCCAACCATAGAATTGAATTTCAACAGTGATATCGTGTCGAGGGAATTCCCAGGGGTTGAAGTCGAGCCAGTAGTCGGGGATCTCGACCTGATAGCCATCCACAATCTCCTGCTTGAAGATACCATATCTGTACCGCAATCCGTAGCCCCAGGCTGGATAGTTCAGTGTGGCCATACTGTCAAGGAAGCACGCGGCCAGACGCCCCAAGCCTCCATTTCCCAGAGCGGCATCATGCTCTTGGTTGATGACGTCCTCAATTCGGAAACCAAGGTCCTTCAGCCCATCTTTTCCACAAAGTCAGCCTTTATTCGTCCTTTAACGGTCCTGCAAGGTGAAGACCTACCTCGGGCAGCATCCTTCATCCCAACATTAAGCATCGCATTGTCTAATGCTCTGCCCATGAGAAATTCAAGAGAAAGGTCTACCTATTATTTAGCACTACCACAAGGGAGACTGGGACATCCGAGCAGTAGCACCTACAATAGACCCTCTTCTGGTCGGCGAGGGATTGACGCTGCTGCGTCTTATTCCATTCAATGATCAAACGATCTCTGAAAGCGAGCGCGGTGCCCGAATATGCGGCCCTGAATGAAGTTAGACAACCACTTATGTGAGCCCAGTGAAGATGAACTCACAATTCATCACAATTGTACAGCGACCGTGCCAGTGTGGTTTCCACATGACGGACCAGCTCTTTCTATGGCTGATGATTAGCCCACAACACTCGCGCAGCGACTGCTCATTAAGAAAACGCACCTCAAACTCATCCTTATTCGCGAAACCCGTAGCAGACTATCACAATAACCATCAATGAATCTCCCCAGTCAAAAAATCAATGGGCCTGCTCGCTTACATGCTTTTTCCATCTGAACCAGCGTCAAGAAACATTAGTGACACAATAGCTTCAATGGACAGAAAAGAACACACTTACGCTTCTCTCAATGGCTCTGGAATACTGGCCTCAACGCTCTTGATTTCTGCAGGTCCAAAACCGGTGTAGGTGCGCTTGTGCTTCGGACGGCTGAAGCCAGGGCCGATAGGGCCTTGGAGAGGGATGGGGGCTCCGACAGAGGGCCTTCTCTCGCGACGTTCACTGGACATTGTGAAAGAGAGATGAACTACCAAAGTATCTGGGACAGGAGGATGACAGCTTAAATGATGATGATGGTGCTGCAGAACAACGCCAGATCCAGAACTGGATGAAGTTTATGTTCGCCCCAGTTGGAATAAAACCGTAGAATTGTACAAGGTATTGGATCAATGCCACTGTACAAAAGCAAGATTTAAAAAGAAGGTCCGAGCGACCAGGGATCCAAGGACGGGAAGGTATGGTAGAATGGTAGAGAGGGAGGGGTTATTTAAGAAGGGGAGGAGGGGGAGGCAAAAGAGGTAGAGAGAAGAGAGGAGAAGAGGTCACGGCTTTAGCCAAATGAGGTCAGACAGGAACAGGAACGGGAACACCAAGACGACAGGGTATAGGACCGGGATAGACACGCCTTGGGGTGATCTGTTGTAGAGACGTGATGGTACATCAATAATGGCGGGGTTGAGAGAGCATCACTAAGGTTCCCCGCGAATGAAGCGCCGTCAGACATAATTCTAGTAGTGGTTAGTTACTAAAGTAGATAAGTAAGCTAGATGAACTTCATCTACCTCGACTAAGGTACATTAAGAGAAACAGACACTATCATAGGTAATGTATCAGTCCACTTGGTGGAACTGCAAATGGACACATGTGAGCCTCCAATAGGACTCTAGACCGTCATGGACTGTCACCAACAGCACGAGCTTCAACCAATAACAATTCATGGCAGATAGGATGTGCACCTTGCAGGAGCTCCAGAGATCCTGTTTTAAATATCTTGGGCACTCGGACAGTAGTGTGGGGAGTGGCACGATGATGGACGGATTGACTCGGAAGAGAGAGACAGCGAGAACTTGTGCTTTGAGAGTTGTAAGAGCGAGGGGGAAAGTGAGTAATTTCTCTTGTTCAAAAGGGCCCACCGTTATGCTCTATCTAGAGTACCCCGTACCTACATAGGAAGTTGAAGTCATGACGCCTACACCATCGTATCAGGATATGGCGGGGAAACATCGAACCTAAAGACCTGTAGGAATGTTCATGAGTACCCAGCCTATCCACTGTCCGACCGCAAAATTGCTCATTTTCAACCGCTCAGTGAACTTAAGAGGTACTCACCCCTAACCCATCTAGGTGTCTGGGAAAGAGGACGCTCTCGACGCGTAGGTCCCCTCTTCGCGAGGAGTGTTCACAAGATCATATCATCTCAACTGTAGCATGTGGAGATCCCCGCATAAATGGAGTACGTGCGTACCTAGTTAGACGGGCAGGCCCAAGGAATCAACAGGCTTGTAGTCACCTTATAGTATGTTCGCACCTCCAACCTATTTTGCTGGAACCAAATATAGAATACTCAGGATGTTGAAGGATTTGATGTGGTATTAGTATATTATCTCAAATACAGTCAAACCTTGTTTCTAATTAGCAAATGAGGCTGTCGTAGATCGCCACCTCATATATCAGAAAGACAATGATGGCTTCTGAGGGACGGCAGGTATTCCTTTCGAAGATGAGACCCATATCTTCACATTATGACTGACTGGCTTTATTTATCTCAGCGTTGTCCCTGACGACCATGCAGAGGCAGTTTAGGTAGAGGTGCGAAGAGTGGTCA